ACATTTGTCCCATAACCCTGCCCATTCCTCTTTTCCATAAAACAGTCAAACTCCCTTTGCACTCTGAACTCTTGCACTCTGAACAGGACTCAAAGCCAGAGCACGATATAAACATCCTGATAGATAATGCTACCAGAGATCCCTGTCCAACCACTTTGTGCTATCATACCATGACACAGCTTCCCATTCCAGTCGATTGAATGACAATATCAGTAACATTAATATATTGAAGTACAGCATAGAAACAAGCCACTGGGCCCAACAGCTCTCTGTCAGTTTTTAAGCTCCACACTGCACCTCCTCCTTACTTCCTTCACTCATCCTAACTGCATATTCCTTCCAATCTTTTCTTCTTCCACCTAAATATCTGTGCTATTTGCTTCAAACACTCCCTGTAGCGAGTTCCTTGTCCTAATCACTCTGAGTAAGAAAGCTCTCTCTTGAATTCCAGATTGGATTTAATGATTAACTCGTATTTATAGTGCCTAGGTTGAATCTCCCCTATGGATAGAACCAGCTTCTTCATAAATACTTGCAGAAAATGATCCCAACTTCTGCACTTCAAAAGATCTTCAATGGACCAAATGGCCTCCTTCAGTATTGGACTACTCCATCTTTCTCTGTTAAACCGCTTCTTCATTCTAAAGAATCCTTTCAGATCACCTCTCAGTCATCTTGGTTCAAGGGCAGCCCCAGCCTCACCCCTGATCACCTTGGAGATTGTAATAAGCAGGAGCTGGACTACAAATGCCTTGTGGTACATGTCTGATATCAATGGGTAGTGTGGAGGCTGCCATGTGGAAGTGTGGACTGGGTACAGGGGAATGGTCACATTCGATTGGTCAAAGAAAGGAAATATGAAAGCACTTTGTACCAATGGAGAGAGCTCTGATTTGAAACAATTCCAATTGAGCAGCATTAGGCTATGAATGGAGAAATGGAGTGATTGAAAATTTTCTACTGGAGCTGCAACTGGCTATTCATAAATTTCAGCATTTCTCTTCCCACGCACACTTAGTGCCAATAATGTTGCCCCCACATGTACATTTTCTTGCACAGAGTCTTTTTTATTCAATTCAGGTAAGGAGCAGGGATGAGACAAAGCACTTACAGCACCTGGCAACAAAGTGAGAGAGATTTCAGTGTTCTGTGGGCAGGTTATTTTATTGTTATGGAGAGCTTGCTACACATAAGGATAAGTGGGTCAGTGATGATTCACCCGAGATGCTTGCATGAAAATACAACCACACATTCATTGTAGCGTTTTGAGCTTCTTAGCTTATTGTAGTTATGGAGCACAAACTACAACGCTCTACAACCAGTGCACAGGATGCATTTCATTTAGTAGCAGCAGGCAAATTTCATTGAACAGTTTGCAGTGTCTGAAGAAGTTCTACTGTCGTCTCTACTCTATTTCAGGAAAGTATGGGATGTTTACCTTACACCCTGATCAACAGACCTCCCTTCAGCCAATAACATCAGAAACAGACCACTGCCTCATCACTGCGTGCTTTCCTTAGATAGAAAATGGCTGCCACATTCAAATCCTCAAAACAGTCAGAATATTGGAAAATCATAAATGACGCAGACCATTTTTCAAACCTTTCAATGATTATGGTGCTACATAAAAGCAAACATCACTTTTATTTCATTTTAAAGCTCAGTTTAACTTGAGTGGGCCATGAACCTTTTGCTGAAAGTCCTTAATCGTCTCGACATTTCCATCTGGTTCCAACGTGAGTACTAAAAGACCTGGGAAACAAAAGAAACCTCTCAATCAAATCCTGAGGTATGCTGGTATTGAAATGCTTCCCCAGTACTTTTTTTTAATCTCTCTACTCATATTTTGTTTTGTCTGTATGTGTGTGCAGGGAGGTTTTAGAAGGAGTGTTAGGGCTTTAACTAGTAGGATTATATGTCGCAGTTCCCAGTTCATTACCTCATGGTGAGACAGCAATACAGTGAGACAACAATACAGTGAGACATCAGTACCCCAGGACAGCATTATCCCAAGCAGCCATACTGTGAGGCAGCATCACTCTGGGGCAGAATTACCCTGGGTGAGAATTCCGCTGAGGTAGAATTACACAATGCTGTATTATCTTGGGGTAGCAATCCTCTGAGGCAGAATTTCCCTGAGGTAACATTACCCTGGGGTAGCATTACCCTGGGGCAGTTATACCCTGCCCTCATTCCTTTAGAAAGTTGTACCACGTCAGCAGTAGCCTTAACCAGCATCCTTCAATATACAAAGGACTCTTTATCATTTTGCATCTTTATCATTTTTGCTAAAAAGATAGACAGGAAATTTATTTCACCTAAGTTGATTCTGTGAAGTGTAATCACTCGTAACACATGAATTGTATTACTCTGGAAAATATCCCATGGTGCGTGAACTATGATATTCCGAAATGACAGTCCAATGTAAGGGTGAATGGAGCCACACTCTAAACAACCAATGATATAAAGAACAGTAAGACTTTGTCTTTCATCACCTCAGAATCTCAATTAAATACTTAGAGTAATTGTTGCTGTTCTTGTAGAAAAAAATCAAGTAGGATCCCACATAAGCAAAGTTTTATGATTATCAAATATACTTTCAAAACTTCTCAAAGCCTGTTGATCATCTACAAGGCACAGGTTAGGAGTGTGATAGAATATTCCTCACTTGCCTGAATAAATGTAACTCTAACAACACTCAAGAAGCTTGACACCACATCCAGATCAAGGCAGCCAATTTGATTGGGTCTGCATCATAAACATTCACTCCCTCCACCATCAATGTTCAGTGGTAGCAATGTATACCATTTACAAAGTCTCACTCAGAGATAGTAGGAACTGCTGATGCTGGAGTCTGAGATAACAAGGTGTAGAGCTGGATGAACACAGCAGGCCAGGCAGCATCAGAGGAGCAGGAAAGCTGACATTTCGGGTCTGGACCCTTCTTCAGAAATGGGGGAGGGGAAGGGGGCTCTGAAATAAATGAATGAAATAAATAAATGGGGGGTGCGGTGGTAGAAGGTGGATAAAGGAGCAGATAGGTGGAGAGAAGACGGATAGGTCTAGGAGGCACGGATGAAGCCAGTAAAGTTGAGTATAGGTAGGGAGTTGGGATGGGTGTTGGTCAGTGAGGAGAGAGAGGCAGGTAGGTGGGAGGGAAGACAGACAGGTCAAGGAGGCAGGGATGAGAGGGAGTGCTGGTCTTGGGATGAGGTCGGGGGAGGGGAGATTTTGAGTCTTGTAAAGTCCACATTGAGACCATTGGGTAGTAGGGTTCCAAGGCGGAATATGAGGTGCTGTTCCTCCACTTTTCGGGTGGCATCGTTGTGACATTGGAGGAGACCCAGCATGGACATGTTGTCCAGGGAGTGGGAGGGGGAGTTGAAATGGTTCGCAACTAGGAGGTGTTGTTGTTTGTCGTGAACCAAGTGTATGTGCTCCACAAAGTGGTCTCCAAGCCTCTGCTTGGTCTCCCCGATGTAGAGGAGGCCACGTCGGGAACAGCGGATACAATAGACCACATTAGCGGATGTGTAGGTGAACATCTGTTTAATGTGGAAGGTTTTGATGGGGCCTGGGATGGGGGTGAGGGGAGAGGTGTAGGGGCAGGTGTAGCACCTCCTGCGGTTGCAGGGAAAACTGCCGGGGGTGGTGGGGCTAGTGGGGAGTGTGGAGCAGATGAGGGAGTCGCGGAGAGAGTGATCCCTCTGGAAGGCAGATAAGGGTGGGGAGGGAAATGTATCTTTCATAATGGGGTCAGATTGCAGGTGGCGGAAGTGGCGGAGAATGATGCGTTGAATCCAAAGGTTAATGGGGTGAGGACAAGGGGAATTTTGTCTTTGTTTTTATTGCAGGGAGGGAGTGTAAGGGCTGAGGTGCAGGAAACTCAAGAGATGTGTTCGAGGGCGTTTTCGACCACTGTGGGGATTTTCAAGGACCGCAATTTCCCTCCCACAGTGGTTGAAAATGCCCTCGTCTTGACTTGCAACTATAACTCAATTCCTTCATTGTTGTTCAGTCAAAATTCTGGAACTCCCTTCCTAACAGTACTGTGGATGTCCAAGACAAGCAGCTATTCAAGAAAGCAGCTCAACATCACTTTCACCAGGGCTGTTAGGGATAGGAAACAAATGTTGGCCTAGCTAGCGACACCCACCTCCCATGAACAAACAAAAGTAATTTGGGAAAAAGTTTTACTACCTCTGTCTTTCTAAATTGCAGTGTTACTTGTTTCTCTATGTTTCTCTTAGCAGCACAATGGGAGTGAACAATGGCTGACAGTGCAAAGACCCATTGAAGTCAGGCTTTTGTAGGCTGTTCAGTGGGACATACTAACCTTCTGCTGTCAGGCCTGCTGTCAGATCTCTCGCCTGTACCCTACACGTCATCCAATATTCCAATCAGACAGCACATCAGTTGACATTAAACTCAAGACCATACTCTGGCTCATTATTGTGGCAAGTCTGCAGAAGCTTTTCTTTGCGCTTAGCACTTCTATCTCAAGATAGCCTGAACTGAAACGGAGCTTTTTTCTTAAAATTCTACCCACTTCCAGGAAACCCAGTTCAATAATCAGGCAATTGGACAGCATGGCTATCATCTACAGTTAGTTCTTTTCATTTGAAGACACAAAAGTCAAAAAACTGCCAATGTGCAGGAAATTGAAACGTAACAATAAACATATATATAAAGTTCTCATGAAAATAGTTTGAGATGCAATAGACTCTGTTAAAATGGGCCTCAGCAACAAGTTCTGGCCACTCCAGTTATCTGTGTACAAATGTGATTGTGTCTGCATGTCATGAGAAAAGTCAAGAGGCACAACAACTACTGGGATGGACTAGAACCAGATGATAACATTTGATCATACATTCAGCGATCGACTATGTCCAGTATAGACAAACTATAACATAGTTGAGAAATAATGGGGCCAACATCATTGAATGGCAGTTGTAGCCAATAAGTGTTCACCAGTGAATCACCAAACCAGAGATATTTACCTTTTGGTTTTTGCTGATATTAAAACACATCCATTCTCTTATTTTACACTCTGTAGATTTGTTGACATCTCTAATCCAGTTTCATTACTTGACCTGCAGAGACACAAAAAAAATTAAATAGTTGGCATTTGTCAATAATTTGCCTGATTCCGCTATCAATACTGAACAATGGAAATGGGAAAGTACTTCCAGCAGGATCTGTAACAAATGACTTACTACGTCCTAGCCAAGTTCCTCGCTGTCGAATTTTAATAGATTCATTATAAATATCATAGATTTATCTCACTCATCATTTAAGTATATTGTGATCTGGGTATCTTACCCGTAATTTCTCAGAGTTTCTACTCATCTCCCCACATTGTGCACTGACTGCATCAGCAAAGACAGGGACCACGGATGTTGAAATCTGGAATATTGCCAGTGCTCTATTGCACCAGCCACAGAATAGATCTGTTAAGCCCAAATCCCTTCAGTTTTCCAACATTCCTTAAGGCAAGTACTTGGCAATTGCCAATAGAAAATCAGCACACTGACAACGACAACAGCAACAGCTCATAATTATGTAACATAGCAAAATGTCTCAAGGTGCTTCACAGCAACACTATCCCATAATATGTGAGACTGAGCTACATAAGGAAACACAGACAGGCAACGCATTGTAAAGAAGGAGGGAGAGGTTTAGAAGTGGAGAAGTTTAGAGGGGGAATTCTATAGCTCGGACAGCAAAAAAGGATGGCCACCAACATTAGGGTGATGGAAATCGATGCAGTGTCAGGGGCCAGAACTGTAATGCACCTCAGGATTAAAGAGTTCTGTGACATAGACCATCTGATAAACAACTGATGCTTTCCACACTCACATTTTGGCCTTGAACAAGAATATCCTGAGGAATGACAAATACAGAATTATATAATACCTATCAGAGCTAATACTCTTCAGGTGTCCTATTGTTAGATTGTCCACAGGTGAAGGTAAACTGATAAGGGGTTGATTTGCACATGATTTCAGATTTCAGAGGATGAAGGCAGGGCAAAGGAGTAACTAGCAAAACATCAGCACTGCTTCTTGGAACAAGTGTTTCTTTCTGTCATATAAATGTCTTTTGTTCCATAGTACCTCTACCAATCATTCAAAGGACACATTGCAAGTTTCTTTGGGAAAAGGAGTGTTCGTGGTGATCATGTTCTGGGGTCCTGGTTTTCACTAGCATGTAGTCCACATACACATTATGACAAACTGCATCTTCTATCAGTCCATTCCTACCAGTCACACAAACCAATTCAGGAGGTTATGACCAACTGCATCACTCAATGTGTGCAAAGCTGAGTAAACAAAATTGAAAGCAAAGATATTCCAGGGGCAAGAGATGGAGGAACAGACTCAAAGGGGAGTGAATCTGTGGATTTCTTTTATCACAGGGGGCTGTTGAGACTGAGTCATTGAGTATATTTAAGGCTGAGATAGATTTTTAATTAGGAAGAAAATTCTGACTTATAGGGATAAGGCAAGAAAGTGGAGTTGAAGATGATCAGATCAGTCATGATTTCATTGTGTGGCACAGCAGACTCGATGGGATGAATGGCCTACTTCTGCTCCTATTATCTTATAGCCTTGATAGAGGAATTAAAAAAAACATGGAATATGGGCTTTACTTGCTGGGCCATCATTTATTGCCCATGCCCAGTTACCGTCAGAAAGGTAGTGTTGAGTTTCCTCCTTTAACTAATATAGTCCATGTGGTGTAGATACACCCACAGTACTGTTATGGAGAGAGTTCCAGGATTTTGACCCAGGTACTAGAGGAAGGGAAATATGTTTCCAAGTCAGAAATGTGTGTAGCTTGGAGAGGAACCAGCAGATTATGGTCTTCTCATGTATCTGCTGCCCTTGTCCTTCTACGTGGGACGATGCAAGACTGGACAAAGTTAGAGAGATCAGTAATGGCAAAGCCATGCAGGGATAGACAGGCGAAAGCTTTGGAGGGATTTCAGTAAGGGATGAGACATTTAATGAGGTACTGGGGATCAAAAGCAATTCTGGTCTCAAGAAGAGCAGGGAGTTATCCAGAATTCAGCTTAAATTTCTTCAGCCAACACTGATAAAAACATCTTAAACTGATTGATCATTCATTTAATTATTGTTTGTGGAATCAAGCTGTGTGCAAAATGTCTGCTGCATTCATCCATTGATCAACAGACATTGACAGCATTTGCAATCATAATTATTTGCCTGAAGTGGTTTGAGGCATTTCTGAAGGTCAAGATAAGGTGCTAAATACATGGAAGTCTTACACAGACAGTGACCATCAACGCTGATAGTCTGCACAGCTTTGTTTCACCTGCAGCCACCAGGGGGATCAACTGGAAGAAGGAATGGGAACAGAAAAGAACACTGACGCTAGTGGATACAAAGGTCACTTAATTCATGAGGCACATCTCAATGTCACAGCTCAGCGATGGGCTCTTATTCATCAAATAAGCCATTGTAATCTGTCCATGGTACCACATGCTCGGTCACCAACTCCCAATATTTCTTGCCTGTCGCACTGATCAGCGGATGTTTATCAATCCCACAACAATGACACTTCTTCGAAACATTGTCTGGTACATGGAGGGGGTGGATGAGGTTAAAAATAAGTGTGTTGAGCTTGTTCTTTTCTTTTTGTCTCTCTGTTTCTCGTTTAGGAAGCGCAACTGCTTCTGAGTTTCACCTAGCCGAGAGAGAGAGATTTTAAACCGGCTGTCAACTCTTCCACGGGCAATCTATCAGATGTGTCAAACAGTGGAAGTAGAAGTGAGAAACCAAAGATGACATTTCTCAGCACCCATTCACCTCTCTACCCCTCCAGCCCACGCAAGACAGAGTCAGTGGGTGGGGATCTAAATTTAGCCTCGGTGTGCAATATTTAGCCTTTATCGCAATGACAAAGAAAACCCCAGGATGTGGTTAAGGACAGGAAGTCGATCAGTGAAGTGCACTCTCTCACTTTTGACGTCACTGTCCCTGCAAGAACCAACAGAATGCGATGACAGGTCAGTAATTCTTTTGTGAATGCTTATAATGTTTGGCAAGAATAAATTGCAGTTTATAAGGCTGGAGTTTACAGCAGCTATTGGGACCCCTACATTAGACCCATCAGTACAAGCTCCCGAGAAGTGGCCACTAAATTAACACCATACCTCTATTTTGTCTTACCAAGGATGACGGGTAGCCTCTTGGCGCTGCAGGCCCAAAAAGAGACAACCTAACCACTGCCCCTTGGCATTCAATGGTGGCACCATCACTGAATCCCCCACTATCAACATCCTGGAGGTTATCCTTGACCAGAAACTCAAATGGACTCACGACATCAACACAGTGGCTATAAGAGCAGGTCAGAAGCTGGGAATACTGCAGTGAGTAACTCATGTCCTGAATCCTCAAAGCTTGTTCACCATCTACAAGGCACAAGTCAGGAGTGTGATGGAATACTCCCCACTCGCCTGGATGAGTGCAGACCCAACAACACTCAAGAAGCTTGACACCATCCAGGACAAAGCAGACCACTTGACTGGCACTACATCCACAAACATCCACTCCCTCCACCACCGACGCTCAGTAGCAGCAGTGTGTACTATCTACAAGATGCACTGCAGAAATTCACCAAAGATCCTCAGATAGCACCTTCCAAACCCATGATCATTACCATCTAAAAGGACAAGGGTAGCAGGTATATGGGAACACCACCACCTTCAAGTTCCCCTCCAAGACACTCACCGTCCTGACTTGAAAATATCTCACTGTTCCTTCACTGTTGCTGGGCCAAAATCCTAGAATTCCCTCCCTAATGACGTTATGGGTCAACCCACAGCAGGTGGACTGCAGCGGTTCAAGAAGGCAGCTCACCACCACCTTCTCAAAGGCAACTAGGGATGGGCAAGAAATGCCGGCCAGCCAACGATGCCCATGTCCCAGAAATGAATAAAAAAAAGCCAGACCATCAATCCTACTTGAGAAGTGGACACTGCCAAAGCAGCAGATGAGTGCGAGGATGTCTTAACATGGGGTGCCTATGGCTGCCTGGGTAGAGTTATCACATTCAGAGGCCTAGTAATACCTGAGGTTGGAGGGAAAACTCCCCCACAGGACGAGTGACTAACAGGACTGTGGGCTTTCAAACTCCCTCCCGTCTCCATCATTGATGGCCTCAATAAATGAAGCTGTTGGCCTTTATATACAAAGAGAAACCACCAGGGCTGGCACTAGAGATAGTAGGAACTGCAGATGCTGGAGAATCCGAGACAACAAGGTGCAGGGCTGGATGAACACAGCAGGCCAAGCAGCATCATAGGAGCAGAAAGGCTGACGTTTCGGACCTAGACCCTTCATCAGAAAAGGGGGAGGGGAAGGGGGTTCTGAAATAAATAGGGAGAGAGGGGGAGGCGGATAGAAGATGGATAGAGGAGAGGATAGGTGGAGAGGAAACAAACAGGTCAAAGAGGCGGGGATGGGGCCAGTAAAGGTGAGTGTAGATGGGGAGTTAGGGAGGGGATAGGTCAGTCCAGGGAGGACGGACAGGTCAAGGGGGCGGGATGAGGTTAGTCGGTAGGAGATGGGGGTGCGGCTTGAGGTGGGAGGAGCGGATAGGTGGGAGGAAGAACAGGTTAGGGAGGCGGGGACGAGCTAGGCTGGTTTTGTGATGCGGTAGCGGGAGGGGAGATTTTGAAGCTTGTGAAATCCACATTGATACCATTGGGCTGCAGGGTTCGCAAGCGGAATATGAGTTGCTGTTCCTGCAACCTTCGGGTGGCATCGTTGTGGCACTGCAGGAGGACCAGGATGGACATGTCATCTGAGGAATGGGAGGGGGAGTTGAAATGGTTCGCGACTGGGAGGTGCAGTTGTTTATTGCGAACCGAGCGTAGGTGTTCTGCAAAGCGGTCCCCGAGCCTCCGTTTGGCTTTACCGATGTAGAGGAAGCCACACCGGGTACAACGGATGCAGTATACCACATTGGCAGATGTGCAGGTGAACATCTGCTTTATGTGGAAAGTCTTCTTGGGGAATGGGATGGGGGTGAGGGAGGAGGTATGGGGGCAGGTATAGCACTTCCT